GGAGGATGCGGGAGAGAGGAGGAAGGTGTTGGCTGTGAGTCCAACGCCAACTTGCAAAAGAGAGGCATTTTTTAATGCTAACATAAGTGAAAAGTGATTCTTTAAATGTCATCAAGAAAATGTTTTTTCTATCTGCAAAACAATTTATAGATATATCATCAATTTTTTTCATTCAGGAGTCTAATTACCATCACCATTATTTTTAGTTCACCTAATTATTATTAATATTTTTATAGTTTCTGTGTCATGTAAAATTTTTAGGGGTTTGAATAACCCTGATTTTTTTAATAGTCCTGATTATCCCACATAAATCACTGAAAATATAGGTTTAGCCAATATTTTCTCCAGAAAATAACACATACATGTATATTTGTGTGGATAAAATTTATATGTCATGTACGTATTATATATACATCCCACCAATGTATCACAATTTTGCCTCAATATAGTGCAACTGTATATGCTTGTATATGACTTGGGCCTCCCTCTATAGAAAATATTTCTTTATTCTTCTCTATTATTTCGTGTAATATTTAGACCCTGAAGACTGATGGGCATATAAGATTACTCAATAGTATTTGTAAAGCTGAACTGCATGACATTTTATGCTGAAAAGACTCAACAAAACATTTAGAAAAGACCCATTTGCATCTCACAGCACATCACTTTCACACCTTCTATTTTCATCTGTCTTTCATGTTTATGGAAACCTATGGTTGTTGCCTCCCCCATAATAATCAAGAAGATCTTCAACTTTTAAACAAGAAGATTATTAGCAAGGTGGATTTCATTTGCAGTCTTACTTCTATTTTCCATAAGAACTAACGTATGCCCAAGTACTGGAGATTTAGGGTGTATTTTTGGGGAGAGGCTTTAGTTCACTTACCACAAGTCCTTTTAATTGTATTTCCTGAGAAAATGACCCTTTCTGAGGATAGTTTCCAATGCAGAGATATAACACGCAGGCTCACTTCCTCTTAGGTGTGAATTCCTAGAGTCCTGCTCTCAATTACCAAACCAAGAACTACTTTTACCCCTTATATGACACCCATAGACGTGCATCAGAATAGTCACGTAATATGTAACTACAGTGTTTTGTTGCCATGATATTCTGAAATTGAAGACGAGAATAATCACACAGCCGTCCTTTCATTGAGACTTGACTTAGTGTACAGGCAGACCCCCATGCCAGAGAAAGCATTTAGGTTTTCAATATTACATACTTCCCTTCAAATACTTATCAGGATATCACCAAACTCATAACACTCTATAAAATGCCACTGGAGGGCCCGGGCCGAGGAGGGGAGGCGGTGGCCGTGGTGGCCGCAGGACCAGGAGGCGGCGGCTGGGCCCACACCGCGGCCGGGCGGGAAGAAGGCGGATGCGCTCCGGCCCTCGGGCCAAGAAGCTGGAGAAACTCGGAGTGTGCACTCCGCCTGCAAGGCCCAGGAGTCGTGTAAATGCAAGGCCTGGGAAAACCCCAACCCTCTCCCACTGCCCCCAGAGCCCATCTGCAGCAAATAATTGTCAGTCTGACGGAATCCTGTCGGACTGTGGCCCTGCCCTCGCTGCTCGTGTTTCCCACCTGGGGAGCGCGTCAGAGGAAGACATGAACAGGCTCCGGGGAATAGTGCTGGGAGTGGAGTATCTTTTTCCCTGTGTCCACAAGGAAGAAGATGCAGACACCAAGCTAGTTTATTTCTACCTATTTAAGCTCTTGAGAAAGTCTGTTTTGCAAAGAGGAAAGCCTGTGGTTGAAGGCTCTTTGGAGAAGAAACCTCCATTTGAAAAACCTAGTGTTGAACAGGGTGTGAGTAACTTTGTACAGTACAAATTTAGTCACCTGCCACCAAAAGAAAGGCCAACAGTAGTTGAGTTGGCAAAAATGCTCCTAAACCGCATCCACTATTGGCATAGTTGGAGGCCCCATCTCAGCAACGCCTGCGATCTCCCAATGGTGATATTTCTGGATACAAAGAGAACTACACAAGGTGGCTGTGTTACTGCCATGTGCCACCGTTCTGCGACAGTCTACCTCGGTAGGAAACCTCACAGGTTCCTGGGAGAACATTACTTCGCTCAGTCTTCACCCTTGTGAGGAGACAACTCCTGGAACAAGCAAGACAGGAAAAGGACAAACTGCCTCTTGAGAAACGAACTCTAATCCTCACCCATTTCCCAAAGTTTCTGCCCATGTTAAAAGAAGAAGTTTACAGTCAAAACTCTCCCATCTGGGGTCAGGATTTTCTCTCAGCCTCTTCCAGAGCCAGCCAGCTAGGAATCCAAACAGTTATCAGTCCTCCTCCTGTGGCTGGGACAGTTCCACACAATTCAAACTCATCTTCCTTTGAGCAGCCAAATGGAGGGAGCAGCAGTCCTGCCTGCAAAGTCTCTTCTGGACTTGAGGCAAACCCAGGAGAAAAGAGGAAAATGAATGATTCTCACGTTTTAGAGGAGGCCAAGAAACCCCGAGTTATGGGGGATATTCCGATGGAATTAATCAATGAGGTCATGTCCACCATCACGGACCCTGCAGCGATGCTCGGACCAGAGACCACTTTGCTGT